GACAACCTCGCAAAGAGCGTCAACAAGCCTGCCTCGCAAGACGCATACGTATACGCCACAGTCGCCGCCGCTAGCATACAGCTACGGTTACGAGACGAGGAGGGCGCCAAGAAGAAGCTCGACGAGTGCGAGCAAATACTGGAGGGCTTCGATTCGGTAGAGACGGTGGTCCATGCGTCCTTCTACCGTGCGAACGCAGAGTACTACAAGTCGAAGCACGAGTTTGCCGCCTACTACAAGAACGCCCTGCTATTTCTTGCCTGCGTCGATCTGCAAGACCTGGAACTCCGCGAACGACAGTCGCGCGCATACGACCTCAGCATTGCCGCCCTCGTCTCAGACTCCATCTACAACTTCGGAGAGCTGCTGCTACATCCCATCCTCGATTCACTAGTCAAGACCCCGCACGCATGGCTACGTGATCTCCTCTTCGCCTTCAACCGCGGCGACCTGATCGCATACGACGTCCTTGCCGGCAACATCGCAAAAGTTCCTCTCCTCAAGGAGCACCAGACCTTCCTCTACCAGAAGATTTCGCTATCCGCATTGACTGAGACTGTCTTCCGTCGCCCACCACACGACCGCGCCATGACGTTCAGCGAGATATCGAGCGAGACAAAGGTGCAGCCAAACGAGATCGAGCATTTGATCATGAAGGCGCTGAGCTTGGGGCTGCTGCGGGGCCAGATTGATCAAGTCGCTGAGATTGCGCGGATCAACTGGGTACAGCCTAAGGTCCTGGACATGAAGCAGATTGAGAGCATGCGGGGCAGGCTGAAGGAGTGGGATGCCAGTGTCAACCAGCTCGGCAACTGGATCGAGGGCGTGGGCAAGGATGTCTGGGCTGCTTGAGGGATTTGAATGACCCGCGTTCACCCTGCCAAACGCTTGGTAGACTGGCGGATTGGCAGATGATGCTGTCTCCACTCATGAAAGAGCGGCAAGCGCAAGCTATAAGGAAGACACTTCCCGCGCCATGTAATCATAAATACCAGCGAATGTGGTCACAATAGATGGCCGACGAAACCAAAACATGATCACATAGAAAACTTATTGCAAGTAACCAAGTGCATACACTTACGTGAATCCCCAAGTATGCTTGGATCACACATCTACACTTAAGCGTCTATCAAGAAAGCATATACATTCCAACTCCCTCCCCCTCTCCATCCCTAAAACATTCCCCCAGCTACAATCGTCCCCCCAACGACCCACGCCGGAAACCACACCACCCACACCACCACCTGCGTCCACAGTCCCCAAACCCTCCACCCCACCGCCGCGAGCCTCAACACCTCCGCCAGATCCGCGCCCAGGTAGTGGCTACTCCACTGCGCGACCATAACAGGGTTCAACACCGCCAACAAGCCCAACTGCAGTATGTTCAACGCATTACTCTCCGTCCTACGCACGAAACTCAGCGGGGCGGAGAGTACGCCGATGATGATGCTCAGGCTGAAGTTCAGCGTCGCGAGCGCCGCGAGACCGAGGCCGAGGCCTAGTAGACTGAAGCATTGGATCAGTGTAAATGTTTGGGTGGGGATGGGCGTGTCCGGGGCGTAGTAGCCTGTCCAGGCGAAGACGAAGGGCAGGATGGACGACGCGTTTGCGGCGGTGAGGTGGAGGGCGCGCAGGTGCGTGGAGGGGTGCGTGTTGAAGTAGTAGAGGGGGACGAGGCCGATGGCGTGGGAGGTGAGGACGAGGAGGGCGGGGAGGAGGAGGGGGCGTTCGAGGGTTGTGGTGCTGGATTGTGGGACGATTGTGACTGCGTCGCCGAGTTTGACGATTTCGGTGGCGGGTGGGGATTTGGTGTCGGTGGCGGGGGAGGTGGAGTTGGATTTATCGTCCGTGGCGGGTTTGGAGGGCTCCGGATTCGTAGACGCAATCTTTTCTTCACCCTCGGCTGGTTTTCCGCTCTTGACCCAGAGCGCCAAGGCTGTGATGCTGAAGTTTACGGCGATGAGCATCGCGGACGGGAGGTATGTACCAATGCTGACGAAGCGCTTTGACTGCAGCAGGAGGTAGAAGAAAAAGCTCTGGTGCAGGTGTTCGAGCAAGTTGTTCAGACTCCGGAATAAGCTCTCCACTGTGCGCCCCAGCGTCATCTCGTCGTGCCAGCCATCCCCAACCGTGCTGAGCGTGATAGCATCGACGTGGTATGGGATGAAGCTCGAATGCGGTCCTGTCGCATGTCCAAGGCCCTGGCTTATCATGCCTCGAAGCATAGTCATCAAGCGCTCCTTATACGTGTCGTCGTGGTTGAACATGCGCTGGATAACGCACTGAATGCCCATCTGCCCATCCGCAATGGCCACCGCCGTGTTGAACAGATCGAGATTTGGCAACTGGCCATTCACGCCATCGTACACAATGTGCAACTTATCGTACCGGTGTCCCCAGGGTCCTGCAGGATAATCAATTGCGACCGCGCCCTGCAGCGCACCGCTCTTAATCTTCAAGCTCTCCACTTCTTCCTCGTTATGCTCGTTGTGGTATGCGTCGACCCATGCTTGCGGGCCAATTGTGCTATCGGCGGAGATTAGGAAGATGATGTCTTTGCTCCAGAGGGACCAGCGCTTGAAGTAACGTGCGAGTGTGAGGACGAGGGCAACGCCAGAGTTGTTGACTTCGTCGTCCATGTTCTTCCATGCGCCGATGAGGACGAGGGCCTCTGTTGCATCAGCGCGCGGGCCTTGAAGGATGGCATAGACGTTCTCGCTTGCGATGGTGGTATTTGAGACGGTGTAGTTGTATTTCTGGGTCGAAACTTTGAGGTTCTGCTCAAGGAAGATGGACTCGAGGGCTTTGGAGCGCCTGTGAGTATGTTAGATTTTTGGAGCTGGATGTGGGAGTGATTCATAGCGCGTACTCCTCTACCGGCCTGTCAATGAGCGCGTGGACCTCATGTCGATATGCTCGGAAGACATCGTGCTCGCTGCCTGTGAAGTATGTGTGCACTTGTCCGGGCAGCAGCGCATTCTCAGAGACGTATGTTCTCCTCGAGTACTCGTTCAGAGGCAGGATGAGAAGCCATGCTATCCCAACAACGATACAAAAGGCCGAGAGGTAGGGAGGGAGCTTGATGAGGGCGGGGTGCCTACGAAGGGCCAATATCGAGGCTAGCACATGTTAGTTTTCGTTGTTATAAACACGTTGTAAAAACATACATAAGAGCGCCATATTGTGATCACCTCAATTGCCCCTTAAGAGAGAAGGAAACGCAGAGAAAGAAAGGGTGCGATATCTCTAGGACCCAAGACCCCAAGAGATTCCCATGTTCAATGGGGAAGATGATGTCGTTGGTAGGGCTGGAAGGCGCGCTAGCTGCGCCGCGGATCCACATCTACCGTAACTTTCACGCGCCTCCGAACATCTTACAGCTTGTCGCGTTCCAACATGGCGCCCTCGTTTCCGCAGTTCAATCCTATGCGATTGCGCTCCTACATATTCCGACTCCCGTTATGCACACGAGTGCTTATTGCCGCCATTATAGGGCTGTGGATCGCCACGATTCCGTTTCCATGGTTAAGGGAGTTTGGGCGGTTGGAGCCGGCTAAGATGGACCTTACTCAGAGTACGTGGATTTCCTGCTGTAGGATAGAAGAAGAGGTTCTCAAGAGTTCCGTGGTGTTTGGGCGCACACAACGTGAGATCTGGGGGTGTAAGCGCCAAAACAGATCGCTGAGCTACGAGATAATTGACGGACTACGACACTTCGGATATAGGAAATTATGGACACGGGGAATCTTTCACAAATCAGAGTGATTCCAAGGCTAACTACGTGACTTCTGTAGTGCACCGTCTCAACCTGTTTCCGCTGATGCACCTCAACTTCTTCCACATGATCTTCAACCTGATCGCCGTCACACCCCTACTGGAGCGATTCGAATCCGAATACGGTACATTGGTGTCATTGGCGTTGTTCACTGGGCGTAAGCAATACCCGATGTGTGGGCTGGGCACGAGGTTGACCAGAGACAGCATTCGGCACAATACCAGGAGGCGTCTACACATTGTTAGAGAAATTTGTGTTTAGGAGCAATACTGTCGTCATGGGCGCAAGGTATGGTCCTTGAACTCCTAACCCGAAATGTCTGTCTAACGAGGAGACAGCGTCTGGGTGTTTCTCCTGCTTTCTGCAGAAGTCATGAAGACACATAAGACCAACCCGAGCTTCAAGTACGACCCCTCCCAACCTACCACCACACATCAACTAACACCTTTCAGCGTCGGCCCCTACAAAATCCCCACCTGGACCACGCCCCTCATCCTCGTCCTCGTTACAAGCTTCATCGTCCCCAACGTCAGCCTGATCGGCCACCTCTGCGGCGCAGGCCTCGGCTACCTCTGGGCCACCGGCTACATCAAGTTCCTCGTACCACCCGAGAAGATCCTCCGCTGGCTAGAAACGAAGCTCAACCTGCTCGGCAGGTTACCACACTACGTCAGCGTCGACCAGAAGACATACGGCCGGTATGGCGTGCTACCGAGTTCGAATACCCCCGTGCCACTGAGCGCGCGGACCCCGGACGGCGGGCAGAGACTCGGTCCTTAGAAAGTGACACTTCAGCAATAGAAGCGGAGCAGCGGCGTTGGCATATTGTATAGCATTGCGTTTGGTAGAGTTTGGTTTCACAATGTAAGCGGCGTTTTGGCGTCACTGAGTATGGAATCGGACTTTGACATGTCCATAGCAGGTAATGTATAGACAGTATCGACATAATATCGACCCAAAAGTCTACTCCTCAAGGGTACTCGATTGTGGTACGACCAAAGTCGTCCTGCCTAAGGCACCTAAATCCCCCACCCACCTTAGCCCCTGTCTACCCCTCACTGCAAAGTCTTCCACCCTAGCCACCCCCACTCCCATCCATCCAACCACCCCACTTTCAAACTTATCTCCACGTCAAACGTCACGCCCCGGGTACAACAATCTCCATTATAAGTTTCTGTTGACCTCAAACTTCCATGAACATCAACTCAAGCCAGCGGTTTGAAAAGTCTCGTTGGTGTAGTTGGTTATCACGTGGGTCTCATAGCTCCCTCACTATGACTGCTGCTCGCAGCGGGAAATCCCAAGGCCGCCAGTTCGAGTCTGGCACGAGACACTAACATTTTGCTCTTGCAACGGGCAAGTGGGGTATTTTTTTTTGGTTTGTAGGTGCGTGATATGGTTGTGAGGGGTGTGTTTTTGTTACATGCGTAGAGAGATAGTGTGTGTGCGTTGGATGATGCACTTTGCCCCTAGATTTTTCTTTGGAGGGGCGATTGTGCAAGAGCTTTTTTAGACATGTGGTTGTGTGCGCGCAGAGTGCATGTAGTGATTGATTGGAATACTGAGGAATTAACTCGCATTGCATGATGCTAACTAATAAAAGTTCACTTTTATTCCTCTTCATACTTCTCCACAACATCGCTGTCAAGATACGATTTCTATTTGCCTTTCCAAGGTTGTCGTGGCGTCCAATCCTTACTTTACGCACACCCGCATGCGTACACCAAGTTCGCAGCCTCACCCCCCCCCCAAACTTACCCCATCAGGAAAGTTCTCAACAGGCGTTGATTGCAGAGCTACAGGAGGGGCAAAGAGGCATAGAGGGGTATCGAGGGGCACGGAGGGGCAAAGGGCGAGGGGCAATGATCGAGGGGCTTATGGAGGGGCAACGACGTGCGGAAAATTGTGCATGGTGAAAGGGCAAAGGGGCACAACGCGCGCGCGGAATAAAACGAACTAATCCATGGCGAGGGCAGGGTATTGCTGTGTTGAGAAGGTTTGAGGGTGTGTGTGGAAAACAGGAGGCGCGAAGGGCACACGATGTGCGTTGTGCCTTTTGTTAGCTTACGTGGATGAGATGGCGATGTCTAGTCTCTGCGGATGCTGTGGATGTGTGTTCGAGGCGGAATAGTGATCATTGGGAAGGAGAAGGAGACACTGTCTGCAGCAGTTGTCCAACCATGTCATCCTCTCTGAGCTACGTGCATCCACAGTTGGTGTCATCTACGGGCGCTCTTCATGCTATGGGAATCCTGTCCATGGTTGGAACAGAATCCCAAATAGAATATCATACTTTCAGTGACACGATCGCTGCTGCTCTGTGAAAGACTTGCCAGTTCACAGCTTGCCCTTATGTACCAATCAATCGCTGGATACAGTCAGGATCATGACACAAGTCAACACCGCAGAAATCTCAGGATTTGATTTAGAAAGACTCTACGTATTGTCTACGCCATCACGGTGGCAACTGAGCGCACTCTCCGTGGTGGTGTTTAGCTACATTCAACAAATCTTTGTTATGAAAACCTGCAGTGAGCATTCAACAACTCGATCCACATTTTTTAAGAAGAACTCCTCGATCGAGTTACTACAGGAAAGTGGAATTGGCGCATGTCGGTGCACGACCGCACAAACGTCAAGATAATTCGGTTTCCCATCATAGGATAAGGAAGCCGAAATCGAATCCTATCTTCTCAATAAACTGGCAGCAAATTATAAATGCACCCTATAAACAGCCTACAAATACATTTCTTGCAAAGCCGGCAATCGTGCGATGGGGTTGTCATTGATGTTGTTTGGCGTTGAGCAGAAAGGAGTTAGATCTTGAAAGAAGAATTAGATTTAGAAGGAAGCTGGAGAGTATGAAAGAATTTGACAACGAGCTTAACGCTTCACTAATGCTTATCTAGTTTGACATGCGTATGTATCTTGTGCTTTCTTAGGGAGCTATGCCTGGTGAAATGTATTCAATATACAAACTCTACGAGGATATGCACGATTCATTGCAATATTGATGAGGGGGTGTTGCTGATGTCGGAACTTTGGAGTTTGATCGACCATAGAACGGCGCACCCGGAGCTGAAAGGAATATACGACAGTGACCCAGTTGGGGACTACGCGAGAGTCGCGGGGGTCTGAACTGAAAGTGAGGATTATAGACTGTGTCAAATCGGGCCAGTATTGTAGTGGAGATGAAAGTGGCAGCGTAACCTCGTATCCTCGCAGATTGATATATGCAGCTCCAACACTTTGTAGGAAATATATTGAATGTTAATGGTGTGATGTGCTGTGGAGGAAAGAGTGAGTGGCCATGCCTAAAATAGACCAGTGACGCAGCGTGACGGCGGAATCTCGGTAAGTTCTTCAACTCTTGACGCGAACCACTTCACGTCAAACACCAGCGTGCGCCTCCTCCAAAACTTCTCGTTAGCTACATCGCTGGAGAGGATGATTTTGGTAATTGGCCCGCGACCCAGACATGGCATTTGAGGTGTCGTATAACCTCGAGAATGAGCAGCAATTCTGGGATGGTGAGAGCGCTCGACAACCCCCACCACTGAGCCCAGCCAGAGGCTAACCTGCGACACAGAGCTGGACGACATTGTATCGACCCGTTGTAATGAACACGAGATCATCGACAACTCTTTGCGCTCCTTCCTGAATGTCACGACGAACTACAAGTGTATGCGACGCCTGCGAAGTGCGCTGGTGCTTGTTAACGCCGAATAGCGGAATACCTCCAAACCGACTACAGCGTCGTGAAATGCATCTTCCGCCTCCTGGAAGGTGACCTATACATCGCCCACAAAGACTACGTGCGACGACAAATAATATACTGCCTGCTACAAGTGCGCGACTCGAATATACACTGCTGGAAGGATTAGGCTTATTGAAACCAGGAAGAGGACAATCCGACGCTTCACATAGTCGCGGCCTTCCTTCTATACGATGGCCGACACTTTAAGGACGATGCCATCTTCGAGATGATGCATTCCGAAAGTACTTTCCCCAGGCTTATCGAGCTCGTACAAATGGACAGCGTGCAGGAGGACATCAGGCTGCATCAGATGCTCCTAGAGCTTCTCTATGAGTCTTCGCGAGTGCAGCGTTTGACCAGAGAAGACTTCAGTACGTCAAGAATACCACTACTGGCGCCAACGCATCTCCTTCGGATCGTAGGACTAACAAGTGACACGCAGAGGCCGTAGACGATACCTTCATCCTATACCTTCTAGACATCATCGAGGGCGCTTCTGACGACGCCGATGACCCATATCATTATCCGGTGATTCGCGTTTTGGTGAGTCAAGCGTGAACTGTACTAGACGAGAACTAAGCATGAAGTAGCTGGTGCTCAATGAGCAATATTTGGTAGCCTCGACGGCCCACCATAACGATGATCGACCCGGAGTTACGAATCGAGTCATCAAGGCTATAGCGACTCATGGCATGACTTACAAAACCTTTGGGTGCAATTTGATCCTTTTGCTGAACCGGGAGTCTGAGACGTCCCTCCAGTTGCTGATTCTCAAGCTTCTCTACCTTCTCTTTGGCAACCCATCGACGGCGGAGTACTTCTACACAAACGATTTGCACGTTCTAGTGGACGTTATTCTTCGCAATCTCATCGACCTCCCTCACGACTCACCAGCCGCAAGCGCATTGCGGCACACATACCTTCGTGTGTTATATCCCATCTTGATGCACAGCCAGATCAGCAAGCCGCCACACTACAAGCGCGAAGAACTATTGAGACTGCTTCATCTACTGGTCACAAGCGGTACTCACTTTGCGCCTGTTGATGAAACGACTCAACGGCTCGTCATACGTTGTACGAGCGTACAATGGTTACAGCCGACGGCAAGCGATGACTCAAGCCACAACGGTCATGGCAACGCTACTTCTCCAATCGACCATACAGCCGATGGGCAGAAAGAATTGGCACGGCGAGCCCTTGGTATGAGCGTACAAAGTGGCAATGAGAGCTCAACAAGTGTGCTCGAAATTGCAACGCACACTGAGAAGCCTGGCGTGCAAACTCCTAGTCGGGGAAAGCAAGCACATTGATGCGCGCTCAATGTCTTAACGTCCATCACACGCATTCCTTGCTGTCTCTGAGGGATAGCCGCCGCATCTGTCTTTCTTCGACGAGAGGCAGTCGGATCTTGTGATCGCTTTTTGTTTTGCTGTCAGCTTAAACCTACGGGTGAGCAGGCATTGGCATGGGTCGGCGTTGTGGAGTTTGCAGCGATTTAGCCTCCAGCCGCGGTCTCTTTCTTTTCTCGCATCTTGTTCTAGGGCGTCTTCGTCGATTTGCGACCTAGGACGGACATTTCATCGCCACTTGACGTCTCTGCGTACGTTTGCGGCATGTATCGATACCCCAATGACGATCTATCTTACACCCAGGCATGTCTTTCATACCACGATGTGTGTGTACCACATTCCCTTCTGACATGCTGATCACATCGACTTGGCAACTTATCTACGACTGTTGTACGTGGCGAAAACAAACCGGAACAATATCGTCCGCTCCGTACGGCAATCTCATATCAAGAGCGATCGGCGCAATCAGATGCTGCCAAGAATGCCGAGTGGCTTGGATGGAGGTACATCGACATTGTATTCTTCTCACATGCATTTGTTTATGGAAGTGTGTGCAGGCCTGATGACCCCACATGTTACGCGCAAGACATTTGCATTGTTCCGCGGACCTCAGATGCGATTCCGGTGGAGTACGCCACCATGTGCTCCACCCCGCACTGGGCCAGGCGCGAAAAGGCTGGATGTGTTGCAAGGGAGGCGCGGCAGGCGCAGCGGAGCCTTGGCTCCCGCCTGCTAAGTGAGCCACAACCGTTAGCCATGCAACCTAAGACTTACACAAGCCGGAAGGCATTTCGCATCGTGCTTGTTTTGGCCACAGGTGCGGATATTGATTTTGGGCAGACATTAATATCAACACGTTGTACAGATTAAACATTAGCATCAGAAGGGTCCCAAAGCCCTTGGATGATCACGAGCACAGCCATCAAGAGGTTTGGATAGGAAGCACTGGGCGGATCAGCGTGTCTCGCAGTGTTAATCCAGCCAAGCAATCGAACTAACATCGCGCAGTATCAAACACAATGCAATCGCCACGGCGAGCCAAGCCCTGCATTGGGTATTTCCACCTTCGAAGTACATTGCAATTGCTGCAAAATGACTACTTGCAGGTTAGCACGCACAATATGGCTACGGTCATGTGAAGTGACAAAGTATTTGTATCACCCTCAGTCCAATTTCAAGAGTCGGCAGTTATGATGTACTAACAATCTTCACATTCCTCTTGCGCAC